ACTAAAAAATCTGGCCAGCTTTTCGCAACTAAATATTATTTACGTGGTCAGCAATCAAGAACGATCGCTCCCGCTTCCCGACCAAGCCTGCATCATGTTTGGTCCTAAAAGAAGGGAAATTATATAAAAATTTCAAAACAAATTATCATTTTATAAAAAAAACTCTATTTTATATTTTACTTTCTTTTTACTAACTAAAAATTAAAAAAAATGAATTTTTTCACAAAACTTTTTGATTATAATTTTTTTTTTTCATAATTTTTTTTTTTTTATGAAATAACTTTTTTTCAATTTTTATATAATTTTGCTTTCTTTAAGACCCAACGTGATATAATTTAGAAAAAAATTTCTTTTCATAATGTTAAGGACCCATCTGATGTTTAAGGGTCTTGTGCAACCCCTGAAAATACTTTTTATTCAAAATGTTTTTAAATCTATTTACAGCATTTGATGCTTCTGAAACTAATTTTACACACCTCTCAACACTTGAGGAATGAGAGGATAGGTTTTGAATATTTGGTTTTATCTTACTTTGAATGAAAGTGTAAATTTCTTCATCAAAAAACTCTTTTGTAGACAGTAACTTCATTTTTAAATAAACAAGATCAGCAATTAAATGTATCAAGCTTGCAGCATTCCAATTTACTTGAGAGATTTTTTTCTTTCTATTCCCTAACTGCTTTTATTTCTGAAAATAAAAGTATTGTTATTTACCAAAAACTTATAAAACGTTAGTATAAAAATAATGATACAATCCTATAATAATAGTATATTTTTAAATATTTTTTTGAATTTTTAAAAAGCTCTGTATACAGCTGCGATATATAGATAAACTAGTTTTATAAAATTTCCTTTTCTATGAGAATGAGTATTGTTTTAAATCCAATAGTTCTCATCTGCTCATCGATGACTTTTTACAATTGCGTAAAGCAAATTTGCAGGTACCAAACAGAAAGCATTACCTTGAATGTTTTGTTTTTTTACAATTTTTTTTACATTCTCAAACTCACTAAGATTTGATAGATTGGTGAAAAATAGAATCTGGGACGATTCTTGCAGTTCGGAAGATTTTTTTATTATAAAACATGATGGAGCATAAACTTTAACAATGTAATGGTGAAGCTTTTAAAGGTTTGTGTTTGAGGAAACTTCTAGAATATATAGACAAAGAATTTCTATAAAAAGATTTAATCATCAAGCATGGTTTAGCAGACCTATTTTGCAAGTAGCCCATTTGTGATCTATTTGTAATCCAAGCCCATTTGTGATCTACTTTATCTAATTCAATACCTTTTCAATACTTTTGCAATACCTATAAAAATTCCTTAACTCATGACATGGCCTACTATATTATACGGCCGTATATGTTACATTTTAGAGGCCGATTCTAAGAGGCCTATTTATTAAAAAGATGGCTGCGCAATTACAGAGAAAAAACTCATCATCCAGACTAAATGTAATTTCGAGTACAAAGAAAAGTGTATTCATCAGCGATAATTAATCATAGAGATTTGTGTATTTATAAACATATATATCTATGTATATTATACATGTATTTGTATCTAATATATATTTTTATATTTGTACATTATACATTTAAATTGACAACACGATTTTTACAAAGAAATTTACAAAGAAAACCAAGGTTTAGATTTATGTTCTTTTTTTGTTTTATCTATCTTTATGTTACTACTTTTAAAACTTTTAACAGCATCTTTTCGTACAGTAGCATTGATTAAGTTCTACTTATTGTTAAAAAAAACATTAATTATGATTTTAGAAGCAAAATTAAAACCCCATTTTTTGTGTATATCACAGGTAAAACAAACTGTTGGAAAGTATTTTGATAAAACAAAGCTTGATACGTCTTTGACATTAGCACCTTGTTTAGTTATTAAATCTGAAAGGTTATCTAAGACTGCAAAACATCCACATGTAATTTTAAGTGAAAGTGATGGTACTGTAAGACCACCTCTGGAAAGTATTTGTAGATATAGGCAAATAATTATATTGCTTGTATCTGTAAAATTAAATCTAATATTGCCAGTAATTCATTATTAATTGGGTTATTGTGGTTGTTTTTTAGATCTTCATCCCAAAAATTTATATTCTCCTTAATTAAAGACCGACATACTAAAATAATTTCAGAATGTTGAACTTCTAGTAAGCTAGCTAGAAATCTTCCACCACTCATCTGTCGATATTGCAAAAATCTACGCTCTATTGGGTCATTTTGAAGCCGTGAAGTAAGTACATATAAATATTCTTCTTCAATAAGGTCATCTATAAGCATTGCTTGAGAACGCAGAGTTGTGATGAGAGCCGATGATGTTTGTTGTGATAAGGTAAAATATGGAGATTTCTGCCAAAGTTCAATCCAATTAGCTAATTGTCGAAAAAAAGTTGTTTTACCATCATTAAGAATAATCGCATTACCAAGTTTATTTGGGCTAAATCACTCTGTAGAATTTGAAATAGTCCACCATTTGTAAAAAATTGTAAGAAAACCAGAAATGTCTTTACGTTCTGGAAAATAACTCTTGAAACCTGCAATTGTTGTTTCATCAAAAATTGATAGTGCAAGAGAAACGTTTTGCTTTTTGTTACCAGGGTGAAGACTCTGATATGAAATTTTTGGAGCTTTTCGTAAATTGCCTTGAAGTTTCTCATCTTTAGAATGTAAATGATGAAAATCTCCCCAAGTAATATAACCAGCTGGACAATTATTAGAATCATCTTTTATATTGAATGTAAAGGATGGAAAGACAAATATTTTACAGTTTTATAAATTATTTCTGATATTTTTAACAAGATGAACACTATCATAAAATAAGTATATTTTAGTATTTGGACTATCAGGATGATAAATAAAGAAATTTGATTGATTACCAAATTTGGAACGAAGCAAACTAAATGCCCTTACATTCGATTTATGATTATCGGTAACAACACCTCGAATTTTAAAACCAGATAGCAAAAGAGAACTAATAGAATCGGATATTTGATCTGAAAGCCTTTTACCACTTATGTTAACTTCAGGTATCGCTTTAATAATGAAAGGAATTGATTTTTTTAAACTATCATAAATGCAACAACTCCTTTGTACAAAGTACCTGTATCATCTGCACCCACATAAATGCCACTACAATATTGTCATCTTCATGTATGGAACCTTTCTCACAAAGTGTTTTAACAGCCTTTATTGCATCAACTCTACCTTGTTTTATTTTATTTAACAAAGAAATTGAAGGTAATGGAAATGATTCTAGTAAAATTTCATATGCTTGTTTAGATGTATATCTTAATAATAAAGCATGTCTAATCATATCAGCAGAATATTGAGGTTGACTATTTATGTTTGACTATTTATTTCATCAAGAAGTATATTTCTATTAGAAGAAGTGGTATTTTTTATGTACGCTGCAAGATTTTCTAACATACTCAAACTAGTCAATTTAGAATTACGACCTTTAGATAACCACGGAGTGGTTACAAGTGGAACATTATTTCCTTTATATTGCAAAGCTACACAGAAGCAATAATCAATTTTTATTGATTCAAGAATTGATGGGAAAAATGTTATAGGATCAAGTATTAAATTATAATAAACTACACAATTGAGATGTTTTTTAAATTGGAAACCTTCTGGTGAATGTTTAATACTTAGCATGGTCCATTCAGTAACTTTATCATTTTCAGAAAAAGAACTAAGTTCATCTTCTTGAAAAATACGACTTTTAGGTGGTCTTCTCAAAGCAATAGGCGATGGTAATGTGGAAGGACGTTTTAAGCAATCACTAGAGAAAATTTTAGGAATAGGATCTAGATTCCAATTTAACTTGCATTTTTTACCACAGATGATAAACTTTTCATTAAAATGCTTTTCACACAAAACGGAGTTTGGTGAAGGCACCCAATCAGTACGATTAACAAAATGAACCCAATAATTCAGTAACTGTTGATTTTTTAACGGAAAATGAAAAGAAGCAATTTTTTTATCTTCTAAAGAACTGTTGTATCCAGTTTTACAACCATATGCAACACACTTGTTAACCATGATATGATTCAGCTTTTTTAGTATTTATTAACTTTCTAAAACAGTTATTATATATATATATATATATATATATATATATATATATATATATATATATATATATATATATATATATATATATATATATATATATATATATATATATATATATATATATATATATATATATATATATATATATATATATTTATATAATTTGCAAGTTCTACTTATTATGCAAGTTGCTTTTTATTTGGCATAATATGCAAGTTTAAAGTTAATAGTTTTATCATTCAACTTGTTGTCTTTTTTTGTGCGAAAATAGGCCTCTTAGAATCGGCCTCTAAAATGTAACATATACGGCCGTATAATATAGTAGGCCATGCTCATGACTAAGAATTTTTAGTATCTCATCTAAAATATAGTCTTCAGTAATTTAACCCAATTTTCCTACCAAAATTTTTTGGACTAGTTGTTTTTCCATTCAATTTTTAAAAAGTGATTTTAGTAAGACTTCTTTCAACTTCCGGATATTCTTTCAACTTTTAGTGTTTCAAAAAAGTTTTCCGTAAATACAAAATTAAATTCTTGCAATATATTTTGTTTTTTAAGTTTTTTAGTCATACAACAAATAAGTAAAGTTTCAAAAGTTTAAGAAAGCTATCAGCTTAAAGCTAAATTAAAGCAAATATTATATAAGGAATATATTCCGGAATTATTTTTTATTTTTTGCATAATATTTTGCGGATTTTTAAAATATGACCTGGATGATCACTGTCTTTTATTTTTAGCTATTTTGTTATTAAATAAAATTATGGTCATATAAAACTTAATACATTTTTTTTTTTTTTTTTTTTGCAATATGCTTTTTTACACATGTGTCCTACGCTTTTATAAACATTTTTAAAATTTTTTACTGCTACATTTTTTACTACTACAGTCATATTTTAAATTTTTTTTTCAGGTCGTTGTAAAAAAGAAAGTGAAACCACCTCCGATGATAAATGAACTTAATACTTATCAAATAGCAGATAGTAGCAACTTTAAACCACAGTATCAAGTTAATGTATGTCTTTATAAATATTGCGTTTCAATGCCTGTAGATATGTTTAATTTTCTTTAGACAAAGTAGGGTGGTCATAAATAAAATTTCTTTATTCTTCCGTTTAGTCAGAGCTTGGTTTATGGGAAGATGAGTCAAGTGCTTGGGGTGATGATTTGGATGATTCAGAAATTTCTCAAGAAACCAATATTATGCTTAAGCGAACTAAGCAGTTAGAGCGCGAGAAACGCTCTCAGGAACAACGTAGAAAAAAACTTGAAAAAGAACAAATGAGAAATGAGAAAAAGCCGGAAGGACATATTGGCGTAAAATTAAGCTGAACTAAAGAAATCGGTTTTATTTAATTTGCTAGGAAAATTTCTTCGATGAAGAAAAAACTAATAGAATTAAGACTTGGTCGGAAAAAATCCGAATTAAACAAGTTGAATCTTGGTTTTAAAAGAGATTTCGAAGAAAACAAGAGTTGGTTTACAACAAGTAAAAAAAAAAATGGGTGAACAAGATATTTATTTTTACAAATTTTTTATCAAAATTTTTTTAACGTTTGCAAATATTAGTTAAATATCGATTATGTATGATTTATTTGTTTTCCAATTTTTTATTACCTACTCTCTACCTAATTGTAGGGAGAAGGAAAGCTCAAATAGTTAGGGGGAGTAGATATAACATTAAAAATTCATTGATTGGGGTGTTGTAGTTGTTAGGGTGGGTGGAGATACCTTTGAATAATCGTCGAATGGGCGGGTGGTCAATCGATTTTTTTAAAATTAATTTAATTCTTACTCATTCATCATTTAAAAAGACACGTTTTATTTCGTCATTTTTTTACTTTGGAGAGTTATGATACAAGTTTTTTATTGTATTTTAATTAGTGTTGCAAATCAATAGCAAATTTGAGAAAAGTTTTAATACTAAACTTTTTTCGTAAAACAGAATTTGAATATTGTAATAATAAAGTTGTTTTCAATGCTTTGTAGTTTTAAATTTAACAAATATTTTTAATCAAAATAAATTGAAAGTAAAAATTAACAATAATTGAAACAAAACAGACAGGTGGGTTGATGGTTGGTCTATAGAGTACAAAATTTAAGAATTACAGTTTTTTTCGATAAAAACAAACGATTTGCTGTTTCTAACGACGATGTGACAGAGGTTGAAGGTTGGGTGCAAGAGCAGGTCCAACTATGTTTACAATGCGTTTTTGTACCTTGTCTAAAAGAGAAAGGGCGTCATTAGAAGATCCGTCCCAGATATGGTAACAGTATTCCATACAAGGCCGGATTTGAGATTTATAGAGGTAGAGAATAGAATCCAGAGTAAGAAAGTGACGAGCTTGATAAAGAGAAGCAACTTTAGCAGATGCTAATTTTGCAACGGATTTGATATAAGGTTTCCAAGAAAGATCAGAAGTAAGAGTTAATCCTAGAAGATGAAGGGTAGGAGACTCATCGAGTACATTATCGTTCATAAATATAGGAAGGTCTAAATTGTTGCGATAACGATTGGCTGAAAAAAATTGAGTTTTATCTGAATTAAAGTTCACTAGCCACTGTGAGCCCCATGCTGTAGCAGAAGTGAGATTCTTTTCAAGCTCAGATACCCACTGAAAGCAATCAGAGGGAGTTGGCTTTTTATCGTTACAAAAATAAATGGTAGTATCATCAGCGAACAATGCCAGCTTAGATGTGAGAATATCTGGAAGATCGTTAATGTAATTTAAAAAGAGTATAGGGCCAAGGATTGAACCTTGGGAACCCCTGAGATTACAGAATAAGAAAAAGAGTGCTGTCGATCAAGAACAACTTTTATACTACGATTGGAAAGGAAGGATTCAATAATCTTAAAAATGTTTCCAGATACACCATAAGAAGAAAGCTTATGGAGAAGACCAGCATGCCAAACTTTATCAAACGCTTTAGAAATGTCAAGAGCGATGGCCTTAACATCTCCACCTTTATCTAATGCGCGATAAAACCTATCGGTTATTACTGATAGCAAATCAGCCGTAGAATGAGAAGATTGAAATCCATATTGATGATCAGAAAGTAGGTTATGAGATTCGAGATGAGAGATTTAGTGTTTGTTAATTAAAGATTCAAAAACCTTGCTTATGATAGGAAGAAGACTAATGGGATCGCTCTCCAGACTTTTTGAAAATAGGGATAACAGATGCTGCTTTCTAGCAGGCTGGAAAGCAGCATCTGTTATCCCTATTTTTAAAAACAAGACTCTGATAAGCACTTGTTGAATAGTTTTGAAAGGATAGACGACAGCTCCGGAGAACACTTCTGCAAGACTATAACAGGTATGTTGTCCGGGCCGCAAGCTGTAGAAGAGTCTAAGCAGGAAATCACTTTAGATATAGAAGCTGGAGTGATACGGATGTTGAGCAATGGATCAACTTGTTTGACGGCTATATCAGGTAGAACGCAACTAGTGGAATCAAGAAATGATATTGATGAAAAGTTCTTGGCAAACAATTCAGCTTTGTCTTAAGGTGAGGTGACAAAATCTGAACCATGATCTGAGAATAGCGGGCTTTGGCGTTAGACAAAAATTTTTTTACAATGGTTCCTAGCAGTAATAAACAGACGTCTGTTTTCTGGAGAATTGTTTTGCTGATAGATATGGAGTTAATATTTTCGATTGGCAATTGCAGCAGCACAATGTGAGGAAAACCATGGAGAAGAGTGAGGCTTGACCTGGAATTGTCGAGAGGGAATAAAGGATTCCATGCCAGCCTGAATCCACAATGTTATGTAAGAAGCACATTTGTTATGTAAATTATGTTATATAAGAAGCACAAAGTTATGTAAGAAGCACAAAGTTATGTAAAAAGCACGAAGTTATGTAAGAAGCACGAAGTTATGTAAGAAGCTTACAGAAAAAAGAAATGCAAGTGATGCTAGACCATCTTGTTTAGTATGCAGATGAAATACCAGCGCCATTTTGGGATCAGATAATGCGTATGTTCAATGATGCATGGAATGAGGTTTTTAATAAAATTGATTGTGATGATATTTACAAGTATGTTGTTTACAAGTTTTGAAGATAGATAAGAAGATATTTACAAGTTTGAAGATAGGCAAGAAGATATTTACAAGTTTTGTCAAACTTAAAAATTATTTTTAAAATTTTTTGATATTTCCAAACTTTTTAATTTGTTTTTTTAAACTTTTTTTAATTTCACTCTTTTATATATTATCGGAAGTTGTAAAATTTTATTTTATTTTTTCTATTTTCACGAAGGGGCTTGATGATAAGATACTTTGTCTTCTACTTGCCCCAGTCAGCTTGCAATTGTATAAATTTATTTGAATGTAAGGTTAACATTGTAAAATGTGTCAAATGACGAAATAAAAAAAATGTTGACCCTTATACTTAATGGCTCTGAAAATCTCTTAGCAAGCAAGAAAGTTATGTAGATAAGAAGATGATGGCATTTAGGAAAGAGTGATTAAATCGACACAACCAGAAGGTTTAAGGTATTTAAAAAAATGCAGATAACACCTTCTGAAGGTGTTCTCACGCGAAAGCCCTGCCAAAGAACTTGTAGATGAAAGCATGGAAATGTGGGTGATGGCGACGGTTTGGAAGAAAATGAAGTCAATATCTTAGATCAAGGTAGTGAAAATAAAGAAATAAGAAAGATGATCTGCCTTCAATTGATACGAAGTGCTTAAATTATCTGAAAGCCCACTCTGATAATCGAATTTTAAAACTTGTTAAAGAACTCTTTCTCAAAATTAAAGATATTAAAAGCCGGTGCAAAATTAAAGATATTAAAAGCCGGTGCAGCAACTCCTGAAAACAGTTTAATTAGTTAATATATAATACACTAATGAAATAAATAAAAAAACTTAACAAGGCAACTGCAAAAGGAGTGGATAAAATCCTTGAATTCATACTGTTTCTTCATAGTATTTCTCTCCTTTTTTATTTAATTTTCCTACGCATGTAAAAAAATACGGGGTGTCAATTGTTATGGGGTTCGCTGCTTGAAAAATATCTCAGTTTGGAGGAGTAATAATTAATTGAAATCAAAGAGTTTTTATCAAAAAAACGAGTTTTTTGCTCTCTTTCACACCTCTCCCCCTCCGCCTTCTCACTCTCCTACATTTAGGTAGGGGAGAGTAACATTCAAAAGGAATTATGTAAATTGCAGAATTTGTTTGAAAAAATTTGTTTTTTAAAGTGTAATATGGAAAATATATTTATCAATTTCAATCAAAAATAAATTTGGTAAAAATGTTATAGAAAAAAAAATTATTAAATTGCATTAAATTATATTGACTTCCAGGTACGACTTAAAACTTTTATACTAATTTTTTTTTTTAATTAAAGTTTTAAAAAAGCATTGTAATTATTAATGATGGCGACAAATCAAACAGAATACCAAACACTGGGCAAACATAAATAGAAATCCGTTTGGGAAAACATTCATAAAAATTCTAAATTTAAGGCATGGATATAAGCTATATAGTTGATGTATGGTTTGAAAACACTATTTGGAATTATTAGATCATTTTGGATGTTACGATCACATGGAAGACAAGATGAGAGTACATTGTACTCAAAAGTTATTGAAGAGGCAAATAAGTTTTTTTTCTTCAATAAACCTTAACAAACAAACTTTTTACTATGTATATCTACTAACTTGTGTTTTTGAGCACAATAAATTTGTGATTAATGCATTGCCTACCAAAGATCATATACCAGTACGTCGTCATTTTGCCATTTGAGCAAGTGCTCCTTGCTCAAAATGTTTTTCATCTGAATGGTACGAATTAAATCAATCTTAAAAAATCATACCCATTTGATCTGTATTTTCCATAAGTCTTTGTTGTATATTTGGAAAAGAGACAATATCAAGTTTGTTGGAAGAATTTTGCAACCGTTATAGCCAAGACAAATTATTACCGCACCTTTCGTAGGCAACAATTGAATAGGAATTTTTATAGAAGCAGTCAAAGAAGACGTAGCCTAAGTCTCAAATATTAATGAAACATGTCTGTTTGTGCTTGCGTGAACCGGAAACCGTTGTTTGAAATGTTTGGATTTTTTAAGTTTTTTTCTAAAAAGTTTTCTCTGTAAATTTCTGACCTCGAAGAAACAGTTAATTAATATAAATAAAATAGACAAATGCATTTAATAAATAAAATGAATTTGATAATTGTAGATATTACGTATGAGCGCAAATGATTTAAATTCAGGTTTCCATTGAAACACTCACCCCCAATTTGTAAACAACATTAAAATGACGTCATGCAGGTGGAGTTGGTAGGTGGGTCTAGGGAAATTTTATAGATTAGCATCTTTGGAGTGACGTAATCATGCAATGACCCCAAACAATACTTGTAGTTAAAAGATCTTAATATTTTTTATTTTATTTATTAAAACCATTTAAACATGAACCCTGCGGGGTATGCGAAGGATGCTTTGATAGTATGAAAGGTTACATCCTTTTAGTTATCTCTTTCTTGTATAAGTAATTGCTCATTAATATTAACTATATTAAAAGAGACAACATTATTTTAGTTCTGAACAATAATTTTTTTACTTTGTAAACTCTATATTAGCCATAACTTAAGAATTTCTTGACTTTAGTTTTTAAATGTTTTTCAAACAACCTTTAAATGTTATTATGATAGATTCTTTAAATGTTAGGATGATAGATTCGGGGAATATATAAATAATTTGGGTAATAATAAGATAATATATAAATAATAAGATAATATATAAAAGATTTGGATAATAACAAATACAACTTAAAACAATTTAAAAGGCTTTGAATTAAATAAATCATTTAAAATTATTACATTTTTTTTAGCTTTTTTTACTTATTATTTTCCTTTTTTGTTTTATGTTTTTGTTAATATTTATTAAACAGCCCTAAATACTTATTTATATTGCATTATTTTTAATAAAACTTAACGTAATTTTTTGTGATAAATAACTTTCATGCTAATCTCACTTTTGTCTTGTTTTTCAAATTATTCAGCTGGAAGATTGTTAGCAAAAATTATTTTATTGCTGAAGTTTTGTATGTACTTATACTTATTTATCATTCATTAGTTATGTAAATTAAAAAAAAAAATTTTGAAAACACGGGGCTCGGTGATAAGACAAGTCTGTCTTCTTGTTCCACAAGGATTTTCCATTATTGTTGTAATTTTTCAACAAACGGCAAAAAAGAGCATTTTGGGTAATATGAGCGAAAGATTACTAAGATGTAAGCAGTAAAGTTCAAGTTACTTTGTATATTTTGAATTGATTTTATGTGGTTATAACAGGTAACAGTATAATTAGTGTAAATTTATATGCAGTAGTTAGTGGCTCTCGTCTAATTAAAACGCTATTTAGTTATATGCGTAGTTAAAATATTATAATTTCACATCTGTGGCTCAAAATATTATCATTTCACATGTGTGGTCAAAATTACGATATTGAATTAATGATATTTAATCTTTCATAAAAAAATATATGTTAGCTAGAAATCTGTTTCATATTTGTTTTCGAAAACAATGCATAGAAACATTTATTTTTGACTTAATTAAAAAATACCATTTTCGTGTAATATGATTTTTTTTTTTTTTTTAATTTGTCATTAAAAAAAAAGAATACAATGCCGTGTTATATAAATATATGAATTGAATATGAATTCCAGTGTTTTTCATTAAAGTTTAGCCTAGTTTAAAGTCATTTTTATCAGTTTTTTGAAAGATTAAAATTTTTTTGCTGGAAACTTAAATGAGTATAATGATTTTAACATAATTGCATTAAAAAAAAATTAACAATTCCATAACTTAGGACTTCGAAATGCTATTGAAAATTCCCTATATTTATTTAATTTTTAACAATTTAAAGGAACTTGATTGATTTGTTGTTAAGAAATACTTTTCATTTAGATTTTTTTGGAATTTCCAAAATAATAATTGGCTGGAGATTACTAATATATAATTTATGCATAAAAATTAGGCGCTGATAAATTTTTTTTTTTATACATTCATCATTTTCATATCTCTCATTAAGGGTTTAGTATGTTCTCTTCTTTTTTTTCTCGTTTATAATTTTTTTTTGATTGTGTTCTATCCCATGCAATATCAGCAAAACAATGAATTAGAGAAAAGTATATTAATTTTAGACAATTTTTTGTTTACATATGGACGAGCTCGGTACATCATGCAAATAGTCTTACAACTTTTGATTTTAAGTATTTAAATATTGTCAAAAAAATTTGTCAAAGAGTATTCCAAAAAACATATAGTTTTTTATTTTTTTATTTAAAAATAGGTCTGGTAATTTAAATGGAAGGTTATCTTCTTGCATTTTTTTAATGAAATATAGGTAAATTTTGTTTTTCCGACGTTAAATGAGAGCTTATTTAGCATAAACCAATTACGTATCATATTTAATTCAAAGTTCAAGTCCGCATAAAGATGTGTAATACTATTCTTGGAAAGAAATAGCCAGGCATCATCTGCAAACATAATTGGATTTAACTCCTTGATCAAGGGAAAGTTTTACTATATAAATGATCGGTCTACTAACACATTTTTTATTTGAAATAAGTTACTGGGTGTACCATCAAATTACTGGATGTATCATTAAATCTCGGTGGGTGTATCATCAAATCTCGTATATTTGTTCTTTTTTTATATATATATAGAGAGAGGAAAAAGCTGTTTCAAATTCTTTTAATGTTAACTCAAAATCATACAATGTTGTTTCATCTTAGGGATTGGATTTAAAAGAATTAGAAGTTAGGTGTAATTTTATAGATCTGAAATTTCAGCCATGATGACATTAAGGCACTAAAGATTTTTAAATTCGAGTTATTTCATACAAGTTTGTATAATGTTTAACTTCCATTTATATATTCGTATTTGTATACTTGTTCAAGTTTTTAAATATACAAATTTTTCAGCTTTATATAATAAACCTAATAATAATTTCGTTTGAAACCAAAAATTGGATGCAATTTGAATAGACTTATGTCTATCCAAATTGCATCTAAATTTTGATTTTCACTGTCTATAGTTAACATTAAAAAAATTTCTTTACATAAATTTAGATTAAAATCGTTCTTTTTTTGTTATTGTTTTTTTAAATATAAATATCTTAATTAACAAGTGACATTCTCAGGCCAATCACAAATTAATTTTACAGAGTTAAACTTTAACCCGCTGGAACAACTTTTTACGTAGGAATTGCCACCATGACACTGAAAAAATTTCGTGCAATCCGTTGGATGAGCGTAGATACCATCTTTTAACCCATTGCATGATGTACTACCTGAATCAGTTGTTGAAAAAAAAAAAACTTTTAAAAAATAAATAAAAAATTTTAATGATTTTGAAAACAACTTTAAAACAAAAATAACTTGTTTTGAAAACAACAATTTTGTTTTCAAAACAGCTTTATGCATACCACTCAATGAAAATACAAACCAACGATAACTTGAAAAAAGTTTTATTTATAAATTTTATTGAAAAACATCAAAAGCAAGTTTTACCAGAAGTCAAAAAGAAGATTTTACCAGTTGACTATAATATAAAATATAAGTTGTACGATTTATTAATATTCTTCTTAGTTTATTTTAATTTATTTTTGCCGGCTGTAGCAAGAAGAAGCCTTATTAGAAATAAAGATATATTTAATATCCTTAGATATCCTTATATGATACGGATATCTTCTAGATATCCGTATCATATAAGGTAAACATTTTTAAAAATGACAATTGTAAGCTGTTAAGAAACAAAAAAGTAATAAAAAAAAATTGAAAAACTAAAAAAAAAAATAATTAAAAAAATAAAATTTAAAAAATTTCTCGTTTTGGGTTTTAAACAGATCGCAATTCAAAATTTACAAATAAGAGTTAATGTGTTTAAATTAAATGAATGTAAAAGCAATACTTTGCTACTTTGCAGGTTAACATCAAGAATAATTTTCAATGAAAGTCTGATAGTAGCAATTAATTATTATTAATTCTTAATAATAATTAATTTTATTATTTTTGTTAAATGATCTTGATATTTAAAATTATCAAATTTAGTTTAGTAACTTTTAAAAGAGATTGACAAAAGTACTTGATAACGTTTTAATTTAGATTTGAAATAAAGTCTATCTTCTTTAATATTAACAATATCCTAAATATTTTTCCACAAAAATGTCCCTGTTAAAATCCGGTCCTTTTCAGTTAAAAAACATTTTTAGGGTCTCTACTTTGTTAATGTATTGAATGTAATCTAATTAAAAAATAATTTACTTTAGCAAAAATACGTCGCTTTAATAATATGTGTGTGTGCGTGCGTGTGTGTGTGTGTGTGTGTGTGTGTGTGTGTGTGTGTGTGTGTGTGTGTGTGTGTGTAAAATATAACTATATATGTTAAAATTTAAGTAATATTTTGCTGATATTGCAATTTCAGCAAAATACTCAAATTTTAAAGGATTTTTAAGAAATCATTTTGACTAATTTTAAACACTTAGCTGTTTTGTACACCGTTAAAATACACGCTCACTCACATATGCAACAATCTTTAACACGCTCACTCACATATGCAACAATCTTTAACACGCTCACTCACATATGTATATATAACAATTTTTTTTATAAAGTTGAAGTGTAAATAATGTGTTTTTGTAATAATTATTTTTAGTTGTTAATAATATTTTAATAATGAAAACTTGGGAGAATTTTTTTTAAAACAATACCTGGCTTAGTAGGATTTGGTGTGGTTGTTGTTTTAGAGGAACTTGTCGACTTAGTAATTGGAGCGTTCGTTTTTGTTGCCGGAGAATTGCTAGTAACTGGACTTCCAGTTGGAGTAACGCTACCTCCTTTCATGATATCTACAATATGCTCACTATATGGTCTCCCGCCAATTATATTATTTTGATCAAAAGCTGCATCCCAAAACATAAAACCGCCGAACCGAGGCTCATCTTTTACTTTCTATATAATTTAATTTCTATTTAAAAATACTTTCTAATAAATTTTACAAATATTATTAGAAATATAAGTATAAATACAGCATTTTCGATACTCAAAATTGCTAAAACAAAATATTGAAATAATAAACATTAAAAATATAAATTTATAAAAATTTTATCATTGAATTGATGCATTTAAAAAAGTTTTTAAAAATTATATATACTTGGTAAATTGCAGCCATTTCTGCTGGTGTCCTCCAAAATCCGTTTCCATAGGCAGCGCGCTCATGGCTTGGTACTCCAATGTATATCATTGGTCCATTATTTTTTGATGAGTAGTTGATCCACTGAGCAAAATTTGGGTAAAATTCTTTTGCATCTCCTAATACCATATAATTTGCAGTTATAATGAATTTTATATTAACAAGATTAATTTTTTAACTGAAACAGAATCTGTGCGAAAGTTTTAATGCAAACTTGGGTAAGTGAGGCACTTCAGAAACTTTCTTAAATGCAGATTTGTACAAGTGCGGCAAAAAGTTTTAATATTTTTAGTAAAGGTAAGTTTACTGTTTTTCAATGGAAAAGAAAAAATAAAAATAATCACGCGAGCACGACTATTTTAAATATTAACATTCCCACGGCAAAACTGGGCGCACTCACGGTTTTTTTTTTAATTTCCTTTCCAATTTTCGTAGATAGAAGGACGAGTAGAAAAATATTTTAATAAACTAATATTAAAAACAAAAATGCAGAGTTTTTCATTTAACACGCGAAAGTAGATATATAATTTATTATATATACCAAATATTTCATAAAAGTTGTCAGTTTGCAATTGTGCATATGTGTATTTACTTCAGTTTGTATAGTTACTCGGTTCGCTGCGCAAACAACAAAACAACGTTTTTTACTTTACTTTTGAAAAATAATGAGTGGGTTCCATCATAAGACAAACTTAATAAGAACCTTAGTTACCCGCTTAGTTACCCGCTTTTTCGTTGCAACTGTAACCCTTTAATTAAACAAAAAAAAAGTGAATTTCAATATAGTGTATCAAAGATAGTTACTTAGTTTTGCCATTCGTGCAGGCTCTTTTTTCTTTATGTATAGACTCATTATTTTCCCATGGTTTTATAGATTGTCTCGGAAATATTGGTAAGAATCAGATGAGTAGTTAAAAATTTAAATGAAATACAAACAAAAAAATATTTATATACATAAATAAAACTTTTAAATTCCTAACTGAGTAAAAGAAAATAGAGTGAAAAAAAAACTCATATTACTTAAAAAAACGTATAAACAAAATTGATTATAAACAAAATTGAGTAATATTTAAACTTATCATGCTCCATTATTTTTACTAATAGAAGCAAAAAAAAAAAAAAAAAAAAAAAATACCTGTATGGCAATAGTTATTGTAGAATTGAATGTAAATTTCATCAAACATTGTTGGAACGTCTTGAAAAGCTTTTCCAGGCGATGGCCCCAAAAATGAATCTGGAAACGGGCACTGAGGAGCCGCAGCAATGATATACTTTTTTTTTTTATTTCTAGTTAATTTATAAAGTTCACGAACAAAGGCACTGTAACCTATTGATGTTCCACCTTCAATATCAAGGTCGACTCCATCTAAAACAGCGCTAAAAAACAACCGATGTTGACTTGGATAAAAAATAAAAAATAAGTGTTCATGTAAATAATATTTACTTTTCTATCGCACTTTTATAATAGTTTTTTAATGAGATAATAATAGTTAAAGTTTGAACCTTCCAAAAGGGCGAATATTGTTAAGTTGATCTCCTTCAAGTAGTAAATGATATACTGTGTTAGCAAATTTAGTCGCCTGAGCATCATTTTGAAAACCATAACTACCACTTGCTCCTCCTAATGACATAAGAACTTGTTTTCCACGTGATTGGCATTCTTTGATACCTGCTTCAATTTCAGGACATCGATACAAAAATGGATAATCAGCATTCATTGATGTTTCACAATGAAAGGCAAAGTTCATTCCAGGCATAGAATCTAAAATAAACAATTTTTACAGCTTTTAATTTTCAAATCTCTGTACATTTACAAATTAATTTTATTTTATCTTTTTTATACAAATTTCAAAATTTTTTCTAGTTAAGTTACGAGTAAAATGGTCACACTCGGATTTAACACTTCTAACAACAGTTTCCTCCTCTTAAATCAACTTTGCTATTACTAAGTACATGTTCAAATAGTTGTTTAAGATAAACATTTACCCCTTTTTTACCAAATTTTTTAACTTTACCAAATTTACCAAATTTATTAACTTACTTTTTTACCTTACGTAATAAAATTTTTTTTATGTTTGATGTTGACTTGGAACTTTAAATTTCTAAATGTTCAAAGTTGTAAAAAAAAAGCAGTTATAATCGTGGCGATTATAGCTAACTCTACTTCAATTTACAAGAGTATAGTCCCCTAAAAGTCCCCCAACGGCTGAATTTTTGTCGCTTAAATATTGGTTGTAAAAAGATTATTTCTGCAAACGGCTTTAAATTAGATTTAAATATATTGACAGATTTGGCAATGGAATGGGTACGGTAACCTTGCTCAGATTAAAAGCATCTACAAAACGGGACATATAACAATTGATACATTGTATCCGTAACTAAAACTTCGAAACAAAAATTTAATTTAATGAAATTTCTAAAGATTCTGGGAATTACCAAGAGACGAATAAAAGATAAACAAAGAGACCATTATTACTAATTAACGGTTTTGTTAATAGTAGAACTTACACAATACTTTTTAAATAACATTACCAATAAAAAATAAAACCATGGTCAATAATAAAAACAACTACCTTTTTGTCTAGCATCAAAGAAAACATGCATAAACGCAAGTACAATTGTGTCATATCTTGTGTTCATGCAAAAATGGCGAAGATCTTTTTCCCAAAACTGTCGTTCTTTTTTTAAATTATATACAGCATTTTGCCCCCAATAAACAACAAGTTTATGATTTTTTGCACCTAAAAGTTAATTAAAAAGTTAATCAAATCTGAGAAAAATCCTTTTGTAGGCATTAAATAAAACTGTTTCTACCTTCAATTTCACAGAAATAAAATAACGCAAGCAATAAAAATGCCACCTTCAAGACCATTTTTTTGAGTCAATGATACTGAATGCTAAAATTAGTCTTATATGCATTAATATTGGAGCAGTTATTCAGCTGAGTACATATGGAAAACATTAGATAAGTTTGAATAACTGTCAAAATATGAAAATAGATGGTCTGGTTATTTAGTTCTATATAACGTTCTGGTCTGGTTATTTGTTTGTAGAGTTTGCAAAGGTATGTTATTAAAAAAAAAAATCAAAGAATAACTTTTTACTAATAACTTTAATATTTTGTACAAATAATAAAATTGCTTTTTGAGTTTTGAATAACTTTACTGAAGTTTTAACTCCACTTTACTTTGTAATCGTATTTCTACTTTTTTTACTTGCGAAAAATTTGTGTTTTAATTGCTCAGCTGCGTTATTTGTTAAAAAAAAGGACTAATGAATCTTATTATTGATAAGTTGCACAATACTAGAACAAATATGCAGGCTCTAATTTGCAGTATCTAGGTGTGCTGAACAAATAATGCACCAACAAAAATTAGTTTTATTTTATTTCATTATGACCTAAAATTTTTGCATTTACAAATAATGCACCAACAAAAATTAGTTTTATTTTATTTTATTATGAACTAAAAGTTTTGCATTTACAAAATATCTTATTCGAACTAAAGTAAAAAACAAAAAGTTTATAATAAATAAATTAAATACCATTTAAAATTTACTTAAAATTAAAATTTACTTTTTACCAATTAAAATTTACTTTAAATGCAAATAAAAAGCTTAACATTTAAAAAATGTGAAATAAAAATTGAAAATTTTTTTGATTTATAGCAAATCTCTAAAATGAAATTTCTAAAGTTTCAACAAAGTTTCTTATAATTATAAAACTTAAATATATAAGATTTCTTATAAACTCAATTTAAGCAAATAATAACCAGCGAGCACAGACGTCCGCGGGAGGTCTATACGACGTCCTTTGGACGTCACAAGTTTGTAGGACATCCTCAAGACGTCCAGCAGACGTTCTGTGCCCGCTGGATAATCATACAGATATCTTATATTATAAATTTTTATTTAAATTTGTTATAATTATAACTTTTAGTAAAATGGTTAAGGTAAAATCTAGTTCATTTTACTAAAAACAATTATTATTTTTTTTTTTTTTTCTATCTAAATTTGTCCTGTTTTTAAAAAAGATTACTCAAGTAGTGAAAAAGTCTAAACAATTTTATGATAATATCTTTTTACTTTAGAATGATTTATTGTTTAGATATACTTTAGAATTGGTAATATAAAAAACATATCATAAGTTCATTGCTGTAGATAAAAAGAATTATGGTATTGTTAGTGGTAATGTAAACTAATCATTGATATTAACGCTTATTAATTTATACAGAAAGAAACTTTTATTAAATATGGAATACAGATTATTAAATGTTTTATATGGAATACAGATTATTAAATGTTGTACATTTAATAGTCCAAAGAGTAATTAAGTCAACTCCCTTGACGAAATGTTTTTCATTTATATAAATGTTTTTTTATGTATATAAAATATTATATAATACTACAAAACACAAGACTTACTGGCATTTGATCCAAAACATACAAGAAAAACTCCCTAATGGGAATAAATAGGCGCAATTTTTATTTACGCAAAATTGCTTGCTACGCCACTGTTTTATCTGATCAAACGATGTGTTATTCCCTAGTGAAAGGAACAGTTTATTGCATCTTTGTGTGGTATTCAACTAGGACAACAATCAAACAATTTTTTGTCTGGCTATATAGATTGGAAACATTCAGAGCGTGAGTTCTGCCTTCACAAAAATTCCAAACAACTGTGGAAACAATTTTAGAAACACAGAAAAAATTGTACCCTTATTTTTGTCTGCACTGAATGATGAAATAGTCTATTGGAAAAAAGTATTCTTGAGGATAGTTGATGTGATAAAATTTTTAACATCTAGAGGGTTTCCTTTAAGAGGTTCTTTAGAAGGGTTTGGTTCCACTAAAAATGGTATTTATCTTCGATGTTTAGAATTGGTTTCTCAGTATGATGAACTCCTTGCAAATTATATCAAACAATATGGTAAAAAAGGTAAAGGCTCGGTTTTATACCTTGGAAAAAATATTTGTGGAGAATTTATTGAAATTAAAGGGAAATCAGTGTTAAGCATAATTATTTCCAAGTTAAAGAAAGTAAAGTATTTCTCTATATCATTAGGTTCAACCCCTGATTATGATCACATTGATAAATTAACTATTACACTGAGATTTGTTGAAAGCAGCAAAGTGTAAGAAAGATTTTTTACATTAAAGTATAAAGGTCTAAGAACCTTCATTTAAGAAAAGAATTCACTAACCATATTCGTGCCATGTCATGGGCATTCTTTAAATTTAGTTGGACATTCTGCTGTTGAGTCCTGCTTCATAGTGACAAATTTTTATTAATTCAAAAACTTTATTTATTCTTTCCGGCAAGTACAAAATGATCGAGTCAGTTGAAATTATCTTTGGCATTGAAATCATTAGGCGATACTAGATGGAGTGCTCATGCTAAGGCACTAGATGCAGTGCAAATGGGATTCTCTAACATAACTGATGTTTTAAATAAAATTGGTTCTAATTCTGATGAAAAACCTATAACTAAAATAGAAGCAGTTTCAATAAAGCATCATCTGTTAACCTTGCAAACTAGTTTTCTCATTTGTTTTTGGAATTCGGTTTTGGAAAGATTTAATAAATGCAGTAATTGTTTTTAAAAATCGTACCTTGACTTAAATGCTGCTGCATCCCTTCTAAAACCCCTCAATGAATTTGTTTCAAATCTCGGAGAAGAATAAAATAATTTTGTAGATAGTGGTAAAAAATTAACAAGGTGTGAAACATTCATCAAAAAAAGAAATAAAAGAAGTAGAAAATATGATGACGGAGTTGGAGATGCCACGAATGAAATTTTTGATGAAGACCATCATTTTAAAGTTAATGTTTTTCTTGTATGGGTTGATGAATTAAAAGCATAACTAACAAATAGGCAAAGTGCTTATACTTAATTGGGTTGTTTATTTGGCTTCTTAAATAAATAGAATAATTTGACAGTTCAGGAAATATCGACAGCTGCTAATTACTTGCAAGTTGTATACAAAGATCATATTAATATGGATTTGACAAATTTAAAATTGTTTAAAGTTACATTTTAAACAATTTTATTTTGATAGTGTGTGAGACTTAGTGAAAGATGTGTCAATTGAATTACAGATGTTTGAATTCATTAAAAAGTTAAACTTTCAATCAGTTTTTTTCCGATTTGGAAACTGTCCTCCAAATATATTTATGGATGATGGTTTCAAATTGTTCGTGTGAAAGAAGCTTTTCTGTGCTAAAAAGAGTGCTAAAAAGTTATCTAAAAAGTTCAATTCAGCAAGAGAGACTGCAAAATTTAGCGATTCTTGCTATTGAAAACGTACTTGATGGGTTGGATACAGCAAGCATCAGCGATTAATTTGCGCAATCAAAAAAAAAAGAAAGAAAAAAATAATTTCTTGATTATTCAAATTTGTGTTTTTGTTTTTAACAATATATTTTTGATTTAGACTTTTTTTTTTTTTTTTGTGGTTTAGTTAGTACTAGGGTTCTCAAAGGCACTTTATTTAGGCATCAGTGCCTTATGTTTTCTTATTCAAAGGGGTCCAAAATTTACAAAGTCTCAGAGCCCATAATTTCATAAGTCGGCAATGCTAAAACGCGCTATTTGGTTACCATATTTTCTATTGCCATCAGATGCCCTAAATTATGGAACACTTTATTAAATTATGGAACACTTTATTAAATTATGGAACACTTTATTAAATTATGGAACACTTTATTAAATTATGGAACACTTTATTAAATTATGGAACACTTTATTAAATTATGGAACACTTTATTAAATTATGGAACACTTTATTAAATTATGGAACACTTTATTAAATAACGAGCTGAAAAATTATTTTCCTCTTTCTCTATTCAAACAAAAACTCAAAGAAAATCTTATTAACGATATTAAAGAATAAAATTCTTTTTGAGATTTTTTTTATTTTAATTAAAAAATTTTTTTTTTTTAACTTTAACATATATTTTATTAACTCTTCAATTTAAATTTTATTTAAATTATCCTATTAACTTGACTTTAGTTTTTAGATTTGATTATTTTTCATTTTTTTTTTTTTACGATTTTCTTTTGATTAGTAACTGATCTTAACTTACTTGTAAATATATGTATATAATTTTTAAATGGTACAAAGTAATTGTATGTATATAATTTTTAAATGGTACAAAGTAATTGTATGTATATAATTTTAAAATGGTACAAAGTAATTGGCAAATATTGTCTTCTTTTAGTTCCGATCATCTATATTTTATTTATATAACACGGTATTGTATTTATATAACACGGTATTGTATTTGTATAACACGGTATTGTACTTTTTTTTTTTAATGACGAAATACTATGTAAGGTTACTAATATCAGTTTAAGCACCAGCAAAGCTGGTTTGATGTTTAAGCCATCGATGGCTTAAACTGTCTTATGTAGTTTATTGATCAATACTACCACTATGCAGGCCTTCTAAATATTTTTAAATTTCAGGAAAATATCAGGAAGTTTAAACTACATAAGACAGTTTTTGTTAAAATAGCTTCTCCTCCTCTACTCCAGTCCATACCAGTCCTATTTTATTTATAATAGTTATTATGATAAATATGAAGATCAAAACAATTATTTATTATATAATTGACGCAAAACAAAAATAGAATAAAATTAACAATAAATTGTTGCATCATTTTTTCAAAACTCAAGCATGAAAAATAAAAATAAAAGTTATGGCACCATAGATCGTCTTCTTAAAGAACAAAAACCTCTATCTAAAAGACAAATATAAAATATGTTGTGGATAACAAGCTTTAAAGAAATTATTTCAATTACTAGAAATAAGCTTACATTTAAATCATGTTTAATTTATTTTTCAGGTAGTTGTAAACAACTTTTGTACAACTTTTTTGTCAACTAATCATTTTTAAAGCGAACTCCAAGAAGATGTTTCAGCCAATTACTCATTTCTGAAAGTCAACGTGATGTTGGGCACTTTTGCTGACTGCATGCTTGATTCCTTCATTGCAAGAGATAAGTTGAAATTTGCATCATTGATTAAGACTTTGGTTGTGACTTCTTCCATTTTTAATTCATTTTCTTATTTTATCTGTGCACCTAGTTTCATAAAATGATTTCTTTTTTTCTTTATTTTTTTTTTTTTTCTTCCAATTTCTGAAGCATTTTCTTTTTTTCATCTTCTAGCACATTTTTTTCCTCTTGTCCTCTAGGAATATTAGATATTCAGAGTTTGCTTTTCGAGCTGCATTAATAAGCTCTTTTGTTATAGGAAACTCAAGAACAGACCCAGCTATGTTAATAGCTGCCTTTACTATTTACAATGGAACAATGGTATTTTCTGAAACGGATAACCTACCCTTAGCTAGCAAAGCATTATTGATCAAAAAGCTTTCTTCAGGTTGGGCATTTGCATGAGATGTGAGAGCTGACTTGACTGTATCAAAGAGATTAGTATATTTCTGAACACTCAGGATATCTTTAATACCAGAGATATGATGCTAATAAATAAAAAAGGCCAACATATCAGATGCTGACTACAATATCAGTATTGGATCTGTTTCCAAAGTATACATAACCCACTCTGTGGTAATCTTATCACAAAAGACATCAGTACTTGATACTTTCATGAGATCCATACACAATCTTTGTATGTACAACTTTCCCTACTTTCATGTTCTAAATGACGGATAAATACACTGAAAGATGAATATAAAAAAATTTATACTGGTTCTGCTTTTTGAAAACTTTTTAGAAATAATTCTAGACTCTCAGCTATAGACAACAAATAATGCAGATAGCGTGGTACACATTTATACTCTAACATAACTTTTAATCTTTTGTATCTCTGGACATTCAAAAAAGACTAAGTGGCAAGAGAAATTTTTTCCAGAAAATATATCTTAAATGCTGAGTAGCAGCCTGCGAAATTAAGGTTGGCATTTGGCAATGTTGACGCAAAAGCCGATGGAGAACACGGAAAATAGCTTATAAATCGGAAAAAATAACTATGTTTAGTATTATTTTTTTTAGATTTCTTTTTTTACCTCCAAGTTATTTTTAAAGTGTCAAATTATTTATTTACGTTACAAGTTCATACTAAGCAACAATTTCAAAAGTGTTTTTTTATTTAAAAAAATAGAAAACAGCTACAGTAGGATAAGTAAATTCTTATTGCCCGTAGAGGTAACCAGATGTAAACTGAAAAAGGATATAAACTACCTGCTCATTATTTAAAACAATTTACCGTTATTAAAATCATCGCCTACAGCACATAAACTAAATTTGTATTTCTAAACTGTAAAAAATTTAATAAACTATGCTTGTTTTTTTTAATTAAAAAACAACTTCAAAACTAAACTATCAAATTACTAATTCAAAAATTTGCTATATACTTACATAAAGTTTAACTGCTGCATTCATTAAAATATTTTATACGTTATGCTATTATAAACCAATGCTTTTACCCTTCTCGTAGCAGAAAGCAAAAAATCCAAATAAGTTTTTTGCCGACCTGACTTCGGCTTAGTACGGCACTCTTGGGTCGACCTAAAACTCTTTGAATTTTACAGGCTGCTGCTGAGTGTTTAAATCAGGAATAAATAGCAGTAACAAACAGATCAACACCAAATGGAACCAACTAAACTCTTTTCATGAAGGCTGTATGAATAGGATCAAGAGCACATATTCCAATATCAATAGTTGGCTGTATACTTTATGACTGCAGTTTTTGATTAAGCTTCTGTAAAAACAAGTTATTAACATTGGATCCATCCATTGAACATTATTGAGCATGAACATAACTATTTTTGCTGACATAAATTTATTGTCTTGCTTTTCCGTAAAATTTCCCAATATGATAAATAAAACCTTTCATTCAAACAGTGTTATGGCTCTTAATAAGAATGTTAAAACTGAGAACTTGAAGACCACAAATATTTCCAAATATTGCAATATGCAATCACTTAATTTGCCAATACTTATATATAGTACATTTGAGAAAATTGAGCATTGTCACTTACCTCCCTGTATTCCTAATGAAGGTGCCTAGCCTAGGCATATTTAAAAATGTAATTTAAAATTTCAAGATATTCAGGGCAAATTAGGAAAATTTAGGACATTTCAAAACAGATGTTTAAAAATCAGGAATTTAAGGAATTTCAGGACATGTATACATGTTCACTATAAAAACAAAAAAAGTTCACTATAGTGCAGTGCTTCCTATAGGAAGCACTGCACTATAGTGAACTTTTTTACTATTTTTAGTATAACCAACACTAAATTTAAAATTTAAAAAATAATAATTTTGGTAGTTGATAGTTTTGATCAAAAAATTCCGAAGTAATAATACTTATTTATTAAAACTCGAATTAATTTATTTACTTAAATCTTTAAATAATCACATATTACGATTACTTAAATATTCAAATAATCACATAATGATAAATAACTTCAATCTAGACAACGAGTCAAAGAGTGTGAAAGAGTTTATTACAGCAAATTATGCAAAAATACAAAATTTATAAGAAATAATAAGCTTGCATAGTTACTAAACATTCAAAGCTGCTGGTGTTTTATGAAATAAATGAAACAGTTATGTATACTGCATGTACATAAATATTATAATTTTAATATACAACTTTTATCAAACGTAAATATATAAAACTTGTTTTTTTAAGAAATTCATATCCGTTGATAGACAATAGCTTCACGAGACTGTCGTTCCATTAAACGACCTGGCTCATGCATTAGGTCAACAATTAAAAAACGAGGAGGGAGTTCTACTGTACCATTCTAAAAAAAAATTAAAGATTTCAATTAAATCCTTAAATTACTTTTCTATGTTGTGTTACAATTAAAATATTTCTATGCTGTGGCTACAATTAAAATATTTCTATGTTGTGGTTACAATTAAAATATTTTTATGTTGTGGTTACAATTAAAATATTTCTGTTGTTGTAAGATTACGATTAAAATATTTCTGTATTTTAACAGTTTTAAAAAATTTAGTCTTAAAAATTTAAATAAAGTTTAGAAAACATGTTTAAAAAATGTTCTTTTATTCAAATAATAATAATTTGTGCCGTGTATTTTTGTGCTGTTCGAATGTTGTCGTGCCACATACATTCTCACTACTTAATTAAATCCAGCAGCGTAATACTTAATTAGGGCAAAACATAAAGTACAGCGGCCTACGGACTATTTTTTTATTGCGATGTTTCAATCTGTTTTGAATAGATTGAAACATCGCAATAAAAAAATTGTCATCAAACGTAAAATGAAATCAAAAAAATTACGTTTTAGTAATTAAAAAATTAAGTTACGTTTTGAATAGACTGTCATCACACGTAAAATGAAATCAAAAAATTTTTAGGTCTGATGACGATCTGTTCAAAACCTCGTTACATTCAATTCTCACAATTTATTGTGAGTTACAGTTATAGGTATAGGTATTTTAAAGTTAAAATTTTAACTTTAACTTTTTTCTAGTTTAAACTTATTTTTTTTACTTTTTTTGAATATTTTTTCAAATTTTACTCCTTTTTTACATCTGTTGCAGTAACCACTTTAGGTAGCGGAAGCCACTTCATGTTGCGGTAGCCACTTATCAATTTTCACCCTAGGATACCACTATTACATTACTTCTCTCTTTTCATCCATGAATGCTACTAAAAGATTATTTCTCACATTTCATTCTTGGATACAACTACCAGCTTACTTCTTACATGTCATCCTTGAATACCATTCACTTCACACCATTGGATTCCATTATTAGCTCCTTCTCACTTTTCACTATTGGCCACTATTAGCTTAAAATTAAAATTTTTGATATTTCATTAGATTAAAACTAATTTGAAAACTTTACTATATATAAAATATTAAGATTAACTTAAATATATTAAAAATAAAATTATTTTTCCTAAATTATATAAAGCTATTAGTTCCAAATAAGTTAAATAGTCCGAGGATGGATCGAGGTACTAACAAAAACAAATATTTATAAAATATAAATTTTGAATCTTCAAAAAAATTTCAATTTAAAATAAAAAAATTTATTTTATATTAAATTTAAAATTCAATAAAATAATTATCGTTAATTATGGTTATATCGTTGAGAAGTACAAAATAAATCACGGAGAGGTTGAAAATATATCGTGGAGAAGTACAAAATATATCGTGGAAAAGTACAAAATATATCATGGAAAGGTACAAAATATATGATGGAGAGGTACAAAATATATGACGGAGAGGTACAATATATGTTATGGAGAAGTACAAATTAAATATACAAAATCTGCTTCAGAGTAATTGAAATTTCGTAAAGTTTTATTAACCTTATTTTTCAAACTTTTTTTACATTATAAAAATAAAACTGAGAATCATTACTTTGAATGAAAGAATAAATTCAATAAACAAAGAAAAAAAAACAATTATATAATAAAAAAAAAAAAAATTTACAAACATAAACAACCAAAATATAAACAAACCAATTTCATAGATTTAAAAATGTAAATGTTCATTAACAATTAACAAACCTCAGCTATATCTGATAAAAGTACTTCATTCCAAGCTATACCGTAATCACCACGGATCAAAGAGCATACTAATGATAATTGATCGGCTAATACCTTAACATTATTATGACTTTATGATAAAATATTACAAAGTTTTAAGTTTTATTTTAACTGGAATATTTTCAAATCAAAACCATTCAATGTTTCTCTGTAATCAAAACTATTTAAAAACAATCAATATTTGTTTAATTTTTGCTAATGTTTGTCAATATTGTAATGATTTTTTATTCATTGAATCAAGTAATTTAAAATTAATACATGATTGAATAATATTTTCAAAATAATACATGCTTGAATAATATTTTCAAATTTGCTTGCATAATAGTTGACAAAAACAATCCAATTTTAGAGTAAAATAATACAAATAAAAATAATAAACAAATAGATTCAATTAAAATAATTTATATTATTTATTTTTTTAGTTGTAATCTGGAAAAATATAAACCACATTTATATATTCCTTTTACTTTAATAACTTAATAACTTCTTAATTCTTTTTTAATAACTTCTTTAATTTTTCATATGCTTTTCATATTTCAAAAAAAAAAAATTCTAAAATTACCTTGAACAAAAGAGCACGGTGGTAATATATCCCTCGCTGAATCATTCCAATAGGTATTACATTTGATTGAAGTTCTTGTTTTAGTTCACTGATATGCAACTCAAAAGAAAAACTGCCAATATCTGCTTTAACTACAGGACCTCCCATTTTCTGGCAAACATATCTAAAATAAATTAATTAAAATGATAAAATATTAAATAAAATTTAATTAAAAAATAATAATTGTAGAATAACATAAAAACAATAAGGGAGAACAAATTAATTGCTATACCTTGCAAGTTGAAATATTTGTTCTTTGGTGTTATTAATACTTAAAAAAGAAATGCGAGTTTCTTCAATGTAAGTGCTCAAATTATTGTCAGTAGGTATTGCCGTTATTTCTTTCACACAAATGTCTTGATTATCTAAATCTTTAAGAGCCTCGCTAAAATAAAAACATAAACTTTATTAATTTAATAAAAAAAAACTATATTGAAAAAATAAATAAAAAAAACCCACACAATCAATTTAAAAATAAAACTATATATCTAATTAAATTCCATGAGAAACATCAAATTGAAAAAGTTTTGGAGATATTGGCATAAAGAGCGAGAAACATTTGCACATTTGCAAACGTAATTAAATTAAATGTAATTAAAGAGAAAGTTATTAGAAGATAAATATTTGCACATTTACAAATGTGGTAGTGGTGTAGTGGTCATGCAGTATTGGTATAGTGGTAGAGTGCTTGCTTAATAGGCCAGAAGAGCTGAGTTTGATCCCCACCATATCCCTCATAGTACCATCAACTTTCTTTGCGAAGTAGCCTTGCTTGTCAAGCTTTATGTTTCAAAGTTAAAGAGTAGAGAGAGGATTGCAACCACAATCGAAAAAGAAATAAATTTAGTCTCCTTGACTGTAGCAGCCCCTCAGCTTTTGGATGGTAAAATTAAAAAAAAAGAGGTCATAAAGAATATGCTAAAAAACTGCACCTTTTTTTTGTAAACGATTCAGGATTTACCAAAAGGATTGGTCGACGATGGTCTACAGGGTAATTGCTGAGAACCTGAATTGATTCAAAATTGGCGTTTGGAGATACCTATATATAAAAAAAAATTTAAAAAAAAAACAACCATTTTATTTTTATTATATTTAATAATAGCAAATGTAAAAAACCTATTAAAAAAAAAAAATTTATTACAAAATTATTTAAATACTAATATGATATTTAATTTATTATTTTTTGTCAATTTAAACCTTTAAAAAACAATACCTTCCCTATATCAAAAAAGGTTTCTTTGATAATGTTCTCAAAAGTAAGTATACCAGTTAAGGCATATTTCATGGATAAGTGGCTATTCATTAATTTATCAAATGCAGTTTGTGTTAACGGATTTGTTTTTGATGACAAGCTCATTTTCTGCAACAGTTTTAACCCACTAGTTTTAATAAAATACATGACATAAAACCACTTTTAATATTATTACTTTTATCATTATTATTATTATTACTATTACTATTATTATTATCATTGTTAAATAAATTAGTTAGAAATGGCAGAAAACAAAGAATAATGTCAAAGAGCAAGTAAACAGTTGACAGAAGTCTTTTAAAAATAGAATCTTTTTGTTAATAAAACATTTTGAAATAGAACCTTTCACGATAGAACCTGTTATAACAGCTAACAACTGTTACAACAGAAAGGTTAAAATAATAAAGAGAAGACTGATTAGATAAGATTTAGAAAAGTTGAAGTGTTCTCCAGAGTTTTTAAAGAATGGAATCACAGATGTTATTTTCCAGAACGCAGAAAACAAGATTCGATTGAGATTAAGTAGATTAGAGAGTATTAAAAAGAGTTTTGCTCTTTTATAGGAATTTTGTCTGGATTACAAGCTAGAGAAGAGCTTGAATGAGAGATAACTTAAGTAAATAAAGTAGGAGTGATTTGGATGTTTAACAGTAGATCAACCATGCTTGTAGATGAACCAGTTTCTCTGGGATGATAGGAAGAGTGTGGCCATTTAATTCAAGAGACAAATTTAAGGAAATTTTTTTCGCAAATAGTTATGTTTTATCCTTGGGAGTTCTAATACGATCAGACCCATGTTTTGAGAATGTTAGAGTTGCTTATGGTGACATGATTAAAGATTTTCCAAATCTTTGAACCTATCTTCTGAGATATATAAATATGAGAATTAATGAACTAGGAAGAGCTTAGCCTCCAAGTGCACCTTTTGGATTGATTTGGCTTAAAACCGAGTAGAAGGAGCAAAAGCATCATGCATGCCTGTAGAAGATGCAATTATCAGCAGAAAGGCAAAAGACATCACCCCAAAGACTGTCACAAGTAAAATCAGAAAAGGAATCGTTTAAATAAAAAAAAAACGTTTTCTAGAAAATAAGCTACTAAGTTAACTGAATAATCTGTAAATCTGATCAAGAGATTGACAAAAGTTTTGAGCTTTAGTGCCAACAGGTTTAATGAACTAGAACCAATCCATTCAGTGTGATGGTATCAAAGTTACCAAAACAATATTGGTTGATGGATAAAGAGAAAAGACTTGAACAATTTTATTAGAAATAACATTGAAAATAGTCTTGAGAAAACAATAAAGAACTAAGAGGTGCTAACTGAAAGCACATAAATGAATTGTACTTTACAAAAGTTGATGCGCAAATATTTTTTTTTGAAAAAAATCCTTTAAAAACTAAAAGCTTACCCACACTTAAGAATTGCTTCAACAAGGTCTTTTTCTAATGTACACATAATAATTACCCATGATGCATTTTGACATACATCATGATTACTTGATTGAAGAAGTTCAATTACTCTTGAAACAGCATTTTCTACAAATAACTTAATTGCTACTCATTATTAAATAAATATTTAATTATTGTTTATTTAATTACAAATACTATTATTAATATTATTTAAAAATATTTATATAAAATTATTTTATAAGGTAAAAAAAATTAAAACGAAAAAGATGAAAACCTTTTTTCTTGCTTCTTCATCATTTAAGTAAAATGAAAGTGCTTTACAACAGTTTTTTTGCACATTGAAATCACTAGACAAAAATATCACATAAAAAAGAATCAAAATACACTCCTTGATCAAATTAATAGCTCTCATTGCTGTTTTTTATATTTTTTGTCATTCTGGAAGGAAAAAATATTTTTTTTCAAAAATAAAAACAATAAATTTTATATTTAGATATAAATATTTTCTAACATAAAATACACAAAATAATAATAATATCTTTATTAGCAGAAATTCTAATTTGCTGATTTGAAGTCGATTCAAGACAATAAAGACTATAAAGACAATTTAAAACCGTTTTTTCAAACATTCATTATGATTCTAATGCTAAATAACTTTTTCGATATATTGGGCCCTATTTGCAATTTTTCAATAGAAATTCTCTCTTTAGTTACCACCATACATTTTCTATGGGGTTTTAATCTAGGGAGTTCCTTAGCTGATTCCAATAATGGAATGTTTTGATAAATAATTTCTTCAATAAATTTTGCATTGTGGCATAGGGCTCCATCTTACATAAATGTTTTTTCTGCTTATATGGAAACTACTCCTTTAATTAAGGCAAAAAACAAGTTTCAATGACTTTTTTGTATTGGTCCGGTTTCAATATTCCATTCACAAATCACAGTCGACCATGACCATTCCCACTGATAATTGACTAAAACATGACTTTAGGAAGATGCTTAATTTTCTGGATTATACAATCCACAGCTGTTTCATTCAATATAAAAGCGAGCTTGAATTTTTGTGTTAAAAAAAAAAAGAATTTCCGCATAAAAAGTATAAAAATTCACTAACTTTAAATTAATAGGTTTTTTTTTCTATAAATACTTTCATTTTTGAATTAAAAAATATAAAAGAACAATCTTTCTTCATTAAGTAAACATTTACGTTAAACAAAATAAAAATAAACATTGTTAAAATATTTTAAATCATTTTGGATCACTTTTCTGTTTTTGGCAATTTTTACGGATAACCTGTCTTGGGCCAACCAAGATTCGCTAACATAGCTACATGGTTTATGGTTGAAATTTGGAACACTTATCAATGAATGTCTATTCTATCAGATTCCTATGTCATCCGCGTGATTTTTATACTATAACTCAATTTTTAGCGCATTTATACTTTTAAATTTATCTCTTTTAAATGTAAAATATAATTTTATTGATGGATGACGTAAGTTATTGAAATTTCAAACTTTTATGCAGTTGAAAATATAAAAATTATTTTATGCACTTTTTGCTATGTTAGCAAATATGTTTTCAATCTTGGCATGTTAGCAACTTTTTCTAGTTTTTTGCGTAAATTTTGTTTACGTTATTAAAGCAATGACATAAAACATTAAACTTTATAACATTTTTTCTAATATTTTTTTGCGATTTTGTTTTATGACTTAATTATCTCTGTTTCAATCAACATAAAGTTTGAGTAATATTTTTTTGTTTTTATAATAGCTTAACAATGTTTATAACTTGTTAATAAATATTAGAAATATATATTTTCAATTTTTTTGTAGATAAAAAGTAACAACAAATTACTAAAAATCAGCCAACTTCATCATTTGTTGCGTTTTTTCTAAACTAAAAGAAGTTTTTTTACTAATATATTAAATGTCATATGATGAAACATTTTATTGTTATTTTTATTTATTTTACAAAACAAAACTATCTTTAATATTTCAAAAGTTTTAAATATTTTAGTAACACCCCTTACGCTAAAATTTTCAAAAAAAAAACAAGAAGCCGTAAAGCTCACTTTGAAACAGCCGTGAATCTTTGTGGATTTTTTGATTGGAAGTTCTTTTGACATATTGAGTGTTTTGAGTCAATATTTCTATTGTAGATTTGTATATTGTATTTGTATTTGTATATCACTGTATATTGTATCATTGTATTGTATTTTATCACTGAATTGTATCTTGAAAAATTAGAAATTATCACAGATTGTTCCTACATTTAATCCTCATTTAATTTGCTGGTAATTGCGGAACATGTAACATTTTTTTTTTTTTACTCTCTCATTCCTTCGTGCTTTGTACTTTTTTTGACTACATTTGTCTCCAAACAAACAATGGGAGACCATTTTTTTCTTATTTGTTTTAGAGTGTGCCTTAATATGTCACATTATATTGATCTTTCAATTTTTTTTTGTATTAATTTTGCTTCTCAAAACTTAAAAAAATTTTTTTTGTAAAAATTATTTTAAAAAAGATAAAAATTGGTTTATATAGAAAATATGACCGATCACATGGGTTTAAAAGTAGAGTGGCATAATCGTAAATAAAAAAAATCCTCTATATCTACAATTTTCTCTATATAAAAAAAGGTCCTTTGGGAAAAAAAATGGAGGGCCATGTCCCCTGCTGTTGTCGGCCCTAAAAAATATTGAATTGTTTAAAAATTACCCATTATGGTTATCGCTTCAAGCTAGAAAAACTACATGGACAACACATAGAAAAACAATTCTGTAAAAAAAAATGCTGGGTAAAAGAAAGATTTTATCCAATATGACAGCATTTGTTGTACATAATTGTTTGTTAAAATCACTTACAAAAAACATAAAAACTTTTGATGTGACCAATAAAAAACAAACCAAATAAAAATTTAACCAAGTGTAACTAATAAATTAAAACAACCTTGACTGAAGAGCTACACAAAGTCCATTAATAACTCCATGTTGTTCAAAATCAATTCGCCAGTTCACTGAAACAATAATCATCAAATATAAAATTTTAAAAAGAACAAATAAAAATACATAATTATATAAAGAATAGCAAAATAAGAAACAAATAAATCTAGTCAAAACTTTGAGTTACTAGAAATCATTTTGCAAGTACTTAAATGTTACTTACAGTTACAAGCAAGATTTGATAAACATATTGCAATATTTGATTGAAGAATTGAACTTCCAGTTAAAAGGTATTGTATAAAAATATCAGTTATATTATTTTCCATAACAATTGCACAATTATTAACATTGGAGTGGGTCAGGTTAACTAGCAACAAGCTTGCTATTTCTTTTGAATCTTTATTTTCATTTTTTAAAAACTGAACAGCCAAAGAAACACCACCTAAAATAAGTGATGGTTTTAGTTCATGAATTTATAAAAATTTCTGTATCAATATCAATTCTTTTACATTCTCTTTTTAATATTAACTAAAAGACAAATAATTCTATACTCTAAAATATTAAGAGTTTCGTTAGTCTAGTTGGTTTTTTGCAAGATTAAACTTGCTATGATCCATCTATGCAAAGCTGGGTAATTATACCTTATTTTGAAAATACTACCCCCCTCCCTACCTTCTAATCTTTAAGCTACCAGAAACTACAACTACATTTCTTATTTTCGAACTTCAAATTGTGATAATGCACATCTACTTGTACATCATACTTTTTTTTCAATGATTTTAAATATTTTAAATACATCTCCAATACCTAGCATCCAAGGGAGACTGTTTTTAACTAACCTTTATGAGAATTTAAATCAGTTAGAACCGTTTTTTTACTATTTAGATATTATGTACTTCAAAAACCATGTGGCAAAAAAGTTTAAATGTTATGCATTTCTAAAAAAACTGTGAGTAAAAAGGTTTAGGCAATTATTAAAGTGTGCAACTAATTAAAACAAATATTTTATTCGGCTCCTTCTAATATAATTAAACTTTTAGCTTTATATACTAATTATAATAGAATAAAAATTAGTATATAAATCTAAAAGTATATAAAGCTAAAACTTTTGGTTTACAACTTCACCTGCCATTTTTTGGTTGAACTGTTTTTTTAACTCTGTTACTAAATGTAAAGTTGTGGAGGTGCAACAATTAGTGTGCTTACCTTAATCTAATTTTTTTGTTTTTGTTATAAGGTAAAGTTTTTTTAAATGTTATTTTGCAGTTTAAGATTTTCTTAAATTTTTCTGGTCAGATTTTCTTGAAAACCCTTTTTGTAATGAAAAAATTTCCTTAATACTTTTTAGTGATGTAAAGTTTTCTTGTTTTTATTTTTTATTTTTCTTTTATGTAAAAAATTGAATGGACTTTAAAAGGACTTTGAATGAACTTTAAACTTTTTAGATGGAAATTTAGCACTAAAATTAAATGGCTGCTGTTGTTTTGCAAAACTTTTTTTTAAAAAAACATTTTTTTTTTAATGAAAAGGTAAAAGTTTGAACCATACTTTAAAAACTACCTAACTTTCCAATTTTATCTCGACAAGAAGCATTTTCTGCTAAGGTTAGTAGTGCTTTAGCTGAAGCAGCAGCAGTTTGCTGATTCTAAAAAATTATTAAATACGATAAATTAAACTTTTATCAACAATTTAATAATTTTAATTTTATAGAACATACAACCATTTTAAATAATTTTCATTTAAATAAAAACTTTAAAAAAATTTAAAATCAAGATTGTTTAATAACTAGCTACAGATAAATATTTAAAATATGACAAATATTTATACAACATGTGATAAAATCTTATATAAAAACTTACACAAAGGTAGATAAGAGATGTGGCATCACTTATCTACATTTTTCAAAACATGTTCACATTTTTTAGCTCATAAAATGATGGGACATTTTATGTTAAGTGAACAGTCCTTAGACCAACCTCAGACACTGTAAACAAAACTCATAAAAATTATTTGTAAATATCCCAAGAAAGTTTACTGGTTGAAGAATGAGAAAATTGTTAATAAGATTGTAATCTTTTAAACAAAAAAGTAAGTTTTAAGTAAAAACTTTTGGTATTTCAAACAATGTTAAGTAGTCGTTACCTTCTTTTTTTTTTAGATTCTCCTAGAGTTATTAAATTTTTAGTTACCATCAAGTTTAATTTAATTTCTGGTAAAACATTCTAGTTGTAGAAAAACATTTATTTTGCATCATGATAAAAAAGAAAAAACATTTATTTTGACTTGAATTTAAAAAAGATCTCAATTTATGTTTTGCAATATGCTTATCTCTAAGGCTTGCTTCAAGATCGAGTTGTGTATACAGAATATACAGTTAATGATATAAAAATGTTCATACAAAAAGATGTTGTTGCCAATGTATTAAGTGTAAAAACAGTACAAAAAGATGTTGTTGCCAGTGTATTAAGCGTAGAAACAGTACAAAAAGATGTTGTTATCAACCTATTAAGCTTAGAAACAATACAAAAAGCTGTTGTCAATGTAATAAGTGTAGAAAAAACAGCAATTGATGAAAGTAAAACCATTTCAACTAAACATTTTTAAAAAAGAAAAAATATATAAATTTTTTTGAATTTAAAAAAAAATTTGAAAAAAATAACTGTAATTACACCCATTCTATATATTTGGACAATATCTGAAATTCAACAGTATTTTTCAACCTTTCAAAGACTTTTAAAGCCAGAAAATCAAAAAAATAAAGTGAATTATAATCAAAATCTTTTTGAAAATTTTGAAAAACAAATAAAGAAATAATTGCAAAGGTTCTTGAAATGTATTAATGTGATGAATAATTAAAGTTTTGTCCAGAAAAGAGAAAGTTTGTGTCAGTTAAAGTGTTAAAGTTTTGTCCAGAAAAGAGAAAGTTTGTGTCAGTTAAAGTGTTAACTTTAACTGACACAAACTTTCTAAAAAACTGTCAGTATACTAACTCAAAATACAATAAAAAGAACAATTTTTGGTGAATATTTATTGAAAAAATAATAATTAAATAACATTTAATATATTTTAATGGCAATTAGAGTTTATCAAATAGTTGAATTGAAATGTAATGAAATTCATATTCTTTTAGATAGATTACATTCATGTTTCAACAATCTTTAAATTTATCAGCGTAATCAACAACAACTTTCAGTTGTTTACAAGATTACACTAATAACTATTATATAAAGTTTCATTTATATTTGCAACCCATAATGATGTGAGGTAATGCCAACCTAATAAACTTATATTTGCAACCCATAAAGCAAATGAAAACACCTATTTTATTATTAGTAGTAGATCTACTATCTCAGAATAATGTTTGTAAATGCTCAAGCATGAATCAGCAGTGAAATATGGAATGTGAGGTAATGCCAACCTAATAAACTAAAATTACTCATTTTGTTCCAAGTAACACCAGTCCCAATTAACCTTGTTTTATGTTAGTGTTGAATTTTTAAAATTTTGTCAGTTAAAATCCAAGTATGCATCCTGTAGGTCTTGTTGCATTTTGTGATTGTCAGTGTTTAATGTAAAACTTCTTGTACACAAAATTCCAGTAATTACAAAAAATCATTAAAATTTATGGTTTTTTGCATTAAGAATAGAAACTATATTCTGATCAAATGAAGTAACTGATCAAAAAAAAAAATTGTTTTGAAAACTTTATAAAAAAAAAACTGTTAATTTTTATTAATTGTAAACACCAAATTTTATTAATTGTAAACACCAAATTAGACCCAGCAAGGTTTAGACCTAGTAATTTTACCTTTTTATGAATTTATTGAGATGGTTTTGGAACAGATAGATAATTTACAAAATAAAAATTTTATACAAAATTGTCAAACCACCTACTTGCTATGTTTAAAAATTAATTTAAAACAAAGACAAGATTTTTTGCTTTTTCATTGGAACAACCAGACAACTTTGCGCAACTTTTTTATTTTCAAAAAGATGAGAAACTTGTTTGTCAAAGTTTTATATCAAATTATCTGAAAATAGTTTACTATTATATATCAGATTATCTGAAACACGGAACATTTACTGGTTCATAAGATTTTCAAATAATCTTATTGATAAACTTAAACAATTAAAAACATTTGAAGACATCTATTTCAGTGACAAATGTGAATCAAGTTACAAAAAGATTTCAACATTATTGCAGAGTGAGAATTTTTTGCTACATCACGCAATAAAAACCCTGTAATGAAGTTGGTAAGATTCTGAAATACCATGCTGTACAAGCCATTTTTCAACTACTTAACAATCCCACTAAGATTGACACACTAAGCAAAATGTTCATATTTTTCTAAAAATTTTGGGTTATGCTTTTCATGTATATATATGTACAAAATCAAAAATTACCAACAAAATTTGAGATGGTCAATGAAAAATCTCATAAAAACTTAATTATATATGGAATGACCAGGATTACTATGGTTGCTACATCAGGGTTGCTACAAAAAAACAATATTAAAAACCTTTTTTTTTTGCATCATTTATTTTTGTAACAATTATACGAAATTTTTGTTACAATTACAAGAAATTTTTAACCAAATTGAAGAAATTTTTGTTACAAATACAAGAAATTTCTGAAACAAATTTAAGAAATTTTTGAAACAAACTTAAGAAATTTTGTAACAAATTTAAGAAATTTTGTAACATATTTAAGAAATTTCGTAACAAATTTAAGAAATTTTGTAACAAATTTAAGAAATTTTGTAACAAATTTAAGAAATTTTGTAACAAATTTAAGAAATTTTGTAACAAATTTAAGAAATTTTTGAAACAAATGTAAGAAATTTAGAAACAAATTTAAGAAACTTGTGTAACAAATTTGAGAAATTTTTTTAAAAATTTAAAAAAATTTAGAAACAAATGTAAGAAATTTTGTAACATATTTAAGAAATTTTTTAACAAATAAAAGAAATTTTTATAAAAAATTTAAGTAAAAAATATATGTAAAAAATTTAAGTAAAATATGTAAATTAAAAGAGTTCTTAAGAACCTTTATTATGAAGTACATTTTTTGTAAAAAAAATATATTCTTTTGTGTAAAAAAATATACCATTGCTTTTTTGTAAATTAATAAACATTCGAAAAGAAATATATTAACTATATGACGTACAATTTTTACTTTTTACTTAAATATTAATATATATTTATAAACATATACTATATTTATAAGTAATATAGAGCTATATTATAGGAGAACAACTTAAATTTCTTTTAAATATTATTGGAAAAATTTTTTCCAATAAAAATCTTAAAAACCTTCCCAAATCTTCATCAAAAATTGTCTGTCTATTTTTTTCCTGGCCTTTAATTCCCTGAAAAATTGATTGACAAAGTACTTTATTGCTCAATATTATTTCATTAGTGAAACCTAACAGTATACATAAAAGCTAATTTTTTTCTTAATGATATTCAATTCAAGTTCATTATTTATAACCCTTCAGGACTACAGTTTTCTTCCAATCATTTTTATTTATTTGTGAAATGTTGTTACAAAAAATTGAAAGCCTGGACTTTAAAATTGAATAAACTTAAATGCTATTTAAGAATTATATAAACCATATGCAACTAAATCAACCCAAATAACATTTTTATAAAACATTGAATTAAATGTAACTTAACATATACCTTAACATATAATATATAACTTAACATATAAAAAAGTTTAACATAAATGAACATACCTCATTTGCTAGTAGTGGAATAAGAGTTTTTTCTACCTCTTGTGAAACAAATAGTCTTCTAATTTCATCTTTAAAAAAAATGACATCATCATCATCATCATCATCATCATTTTTAAAGAAATAACTAAACACCAATGCTGATTTAACTGTATTTTATTACCAAATAAAACATACAAAATCAATTATTATTAATTATATTTATATTATTTATTCAACAAATTAGAAAAAATAACTGCATAGTAGTTTAAATGAATAATAAAATAAAAGTCAACTAAAAGATTTCAAAAACTATTAAAGTTGTCAAATAACACAAAATGTTTACCTTCTAGAAAATATTTACTATCTACAACAAAAATTTAATACCTTGAAATAACTTTAAACTTATATTTGGCATAATTTTTTTTTTTACTAATTAAATTTACTAATTAAAAAAGCAAAATGGTATAATTAAAAAAGGACCAAGACTTTCGAACCAAATTCAATTTGATGAATGAAAAAAGATCATTTTTGAATGCAAATTTTCTTGATTTTCATGACATGTTGCATAGAATAATATAAACACCAAAATTATTTCATTTTTATTATTTTTTTTTTCACTGTTTAATATAAATAAACTTTTTTACAGCTAAGCTTCATAATGTTCTATACATATATAATTTTTTATCAAAATAAAAAATGATTTAAACAGAGTATCATATAATGAGAATAACATTATCACAATCTTTTCATAAATTATGAGAATGACATTATCACAATCTTTTCATAGAATATGAGAATGACATTATCACAATCTTTTCATAGAATATGAGAATAACATTATCACAATTTTTTCATAGAACCTCTATAAAAAACTAAGTAATTGTATAAGAAACCATTAAAAAAAAAAAAAAAACTTATTAATGATACCAAAAAAATAATAAACATATCAAACAAAATAAATTTCAAACATTGTTTCAAAATGATGGCTTCTGAGTAACTTGAGGCACCAATGCTTCTCAAGTTTTCAAATATTTTTTGCTTTAAAGAATTTAAATGAATATTTGTAAATTTTCAAATTAAAGAATATTTTCCCCTTTAAAATCCTTTTAAAATAATAAGAAATGAAGCCTATTTAAAATAACAAAGTAATGAAACCTATTTGAGATGCTGAAGCTATCACAGATGCCTAAATCATAACAAAAAATCAAACAGTAAGATTACAAAAAAACATAAAAATGTAATTAATTATCAAGTAGAACTCTTATAAAATTTTCCAACCCCAACACTTAAAAAATTTACAAACTGGGGTTTGAAAAATTTTATAAGAGTTAAAAAAGTAAAAACCCTAATTCTTACAAAATGTACAAACCCCAAACTTTTATAAAATATACTAACTTCAACTTTTATAGAGTTTACAAACTCCTACTTTTATAAAAAGTACAAACCCCGTATTGTTGCATTTCTGGAATATTAATTGCTTTTGTGATAAACATTAAAATTTTTGAAAAAATTCCATTGTTTTGAATAATCTATAATTAAAAAAAACAACAACTAAAAGGTAGTGAAAAATTCAAAATAACATGCGTATAAAAAAAAAATAAAAAATTGAAAAAGTGAACCTTTAAACTTTCAATATCTTCAAGAATGAATGTCAAGCATTTTAAGCATGACAAATGTAAATCATGCATTACCTAGAAGTAAAACTGAAAAAAATTAAAACTATAAATAACTAAATCTTCAGCACTCATTAATATTATTGACTTAATTAGATATACAACTGAAAAGTGTTTGGAGTTATATTCTATAAAACATGACCATTATCCTGGTCACAATCCTTCCACAAAATCCAGTCAAATCAAGAATTAGTGCTATCAGATAGTAATTTTTGTAAGTTAAATTTAAAATAAAGAAGCAGATGTTTTGTTCCACCATATTATTTAACTAGTCTGGAATTGCTTTTTCTGGAGCAGACTTTGATAATTTGAATGAATTCAATGTTTTAGCTGCTATTGAGTTGCTATATTTGTTGGAAACAGATCTCAATTTTAGTTCAAATACTAGGCAGGGGCTATTCTAGACTGTTTTCGACAGCGTCGATCGTATTTGGGCACCAATATGGGCGCTGCCCAAATTAAAATTTGAATACTTTGTTATTTGTTTTTTTTTTACAGCAAATATTGTTATTTTTGCGAAAAAACTGCTGATTTTCCACTAAAGTTTGGCGGAATGGGGGGTACCACCGCCCAAATTTTTTTCCTGGAATAGGCCCTGCTAGGTTACCTAATTTAATTTATCCTAACCAAAGCCAAAGTATTTATGTGTTTGTTTTGCAAGAAACAATGTATATGACAAGGAGATTCAACGTCAAACATAAGGACATCATTACAATTTAGTAAGGAACAAAATAAAAACAGAGGTTATTTTTTATCCTATTAGGTTTCAAAACTATTTGGTTTAGATTGCATAAAAGCTTGCTAAATTAAACGGTACCCTACTATAAGCTAAATTTAAAAATTTTAAATCAAGTATAAATATTTCAAGTGTTTCAAGAAGTCATTACAGCTTTTTCACTAGTAAATAAACATAACTATTGAATTGAATAAATTATTGAGAATGTTTAAATTTTTTTTACTGCAGATTCTACAAGATATTTTCTGAAACTTCTTTTATAACCTTAGTCAAAAGTTTACATTTCTGTAAAGTTTTGACTAGTACCTCCTTTATCAATGATATTATTATGTTTAAGCATGTACCCCACTACATTACTAAACAAAATATTCTATTATGACTAAGTGAAAATGTTTTTGGTATCCTACAATTAGTTTTAGTTCTAACATGTCTAATTTGTATCATAAGCAGTATTTATCGTATTTGCTTGCTTCTAAATGTGTATGATCATCTAACAATGTATATACAAGTTTATAGATTTTATTTTTTGAAAAAGATAAGCTGAAAGCTTTCAAGATTTAAGAAAATCAGATAAATTTGATATATTAAGAACATCAGTTAAAAAATACTCCTAATTTTGGAACAAGGACATTAAAGAGAAAGAGAGATTACTTGAACCTATTAAAACAGCTATTTTCATAGCCACATATTTAAAATATTATTATTGATATCTTATTAACTTCTCATGAAGTAGTAAAATAAATACTTAATGAATATTTAATACTTTTATTTAAAATAAAATAGCAATAAAAGATTAACAAAAATAATAAAATTTTGTTTTCAATTTTAAAATAAAAATGGCACCACTAACATATGATTTAAAAAAAAAAAAAGTAAAAAGATAGAAGTTTCTACTATAGGGTTACTATAGTAACTATAGGGTAAGACTTTTAAGGTAGAAAATTGTATGAACAACTATTACTTTTAATATAATTTATAAATTAGAAGATAGGAAATGATACTATAGTGAGGGTACATCGCATATCGTACTCTTAGGTAGAAATTTATACTTTTTTTTTAGAGTGTGATCCAGGAATAAGTGCTTTTAAACTGAATTTTCTTGTTTCCAGTAAAGATACTAGCATAATGTAAAGAATGATATATAAGTTATTAACTAAACCAGATAAGTAAACTTTATATGAAATATATTTTTTATTAGGCTTCATTAGCTAATACTTCAAATATACTCTGAATTTATAATACTAAGCATTTATACCCATAGACATCCATCTAGTTATATAGTCAATGAAATGTTTACATCTTTAACATATTCAAACAATAACAAACTGTGTCACGTAACTACATTTATTAACTGTTGATGTCTTTGTTTTATGCTCTATTCATCATTTTTATTAGGAATGCCAATTATAGAGGGTCTAAAATAATTTCTTGAAACTGATTACACAAAAAGCACAATTTACTTATGGCATTTCAATATTTATTCCAGAATACATTTAAGTTAACTATAGCACAATATACTTACATTTTGATGCACTCTAAAATAGTCTCAGCACTAGTATAGAAAGGAACTTAAGTGTCTTTAGACTAGTTTCCAGACTAGTTAAATACTATAACTATATTTCAACCAAACTGAATATTGTCTTTTTTTATTATTGTTTATGTCCTATCAATACAAGTTGGTCAAAGTTACAAAGTTACTGGGTAGAAAAAAGTAAATTGATTATTTAATATCAACAATAAAATGTTGAAAAAATGTTTTTATTAATTTTTATATTAAATTTTAAATTCTATTTTAAAATATTTAATTTTACTTGATTTTCAAGAATAGCTACAAGTTTTGAGACTCCATCAATTTTGCGGATAGCATTTTGACATTCAACTAAAAAGAGCATTAATAATAGCAGTTAATAACAACTTAACAGTTAATAACAACTTAATAACAGCAATTAATAATAACAACTTAATAACAGTAATTAATAATAACAATAAGTACCCAATAAATTACAACTACTTAATACAACTATTTTTTATTAAGTTTAGATTATACCATCGTTTGAACATTTAAACAATGCATCTAAAGCAAGTAGTTGAATAACAGGGTATTCTGAATTAAGGAGATTAAACAGGAGAGCTACACCTAAAAAAAAAAATAAAGATTTCATTTACTTCTAAACACTAAAAAAATATCAAACTAAGAAAACCAAAAAAGGCTTATAAACTCTAATTGAAATCTCTTGGTTTTTGCTTCAAGATAAAAAACAGCCTTATGCTTGGAAGGGGTAATAAGATAGTTTGGGAGGTTTGGGTAATAAGATTTATTCTACACGAGTAAGATGGAATGTTAGATTTGTCTCTGTTAATGTTACTATCGAAAATTTTACTAAAGTCTGAAATGAAATTTAAGATTTAGCAATCTAATTTCCTAAGATATCTGTATAAGAAATATTGGAAGAATTAAACAAATACTTAAGAAAGACAATGTGTAGGACAGTTTTGTGAGTTTAATACATTTTGTCAGTAAAGTCATTGTTGCCTCAAAGCATTAAAGTAAAATTGAGTCAAACATAAATAGTAATTAACACCTTATGGTCTTGACAATGCATGCCAAAAATACCAATAGGAAAATAGACCATGCACAACAAAATAGTTGAACTATGAAAGCATTGGCAAAATAGTCTTAAATAAAGTGACAAAGTAGCTTTAGTAAAAAAAAAAAATCTTTTTTAAATCAAATTTTCAAATTAAAGTCTCTAATTAAAGAATGTATGGCAGTGTATGATTTTTTTTTTTCAAAATTTCACAAACATTTTTTGAATACAAATAAAATAAAGGTGTTTGAAAAAAGAATTTAACAAAATAAAAAAAAAAGTAAAACAAACTAAATCAAATTTAACTTCAACTTCAAAATTTTACAATTAAAATTTGTAGGTTTAACTATTTTGAGAGTTCAACTTGAAAAGTTATAATAATTTCTTTAAAAAAGAAAAAATTAACAAAAAAAAAAACACTGTGTAAAAATTAAAATTGATAATAAAAAATAAAATCACAACCGTTTAACTCATTCAACAGTGTTATATTTCTGCAATCATCCAACATAAGTTCAACAATACGTACTGCATTTCTCTATAAATAAATTAAAATCATTACATATTAGAAATCAATATTTTATATTTCTGTGATACCAATAATTAATACTAAAATAAAGACTCAACAGAACTTTTTTTGATGAGTCTTTATATAAAAAATTTTTATTTTACAAAACAGTTTTTAAAATAAAAAAATTGATAAGTGATTTTTTACAATTTCTGTTCTTTGAACACTTTATTTTATAGAATACATTTAAAATTATTTGTGTATATATTACACACAAACACACTAACACACTCACATGCACAGATATATATATATATATATATATATATATATATATATATATATATATATATATATATATATATATATATATATATATATATATTTATATATATATATAAATATGTACAAATATATATATATATATATATATATACATATATATATATATATATATATATATATATATATATATATATATATATATATATATATATATATATATATATATATATATATATATATATATATATATATATTCCAACAATTTTAAATATATCCAACAAGGCTGCAAGCAACCACTAATGAGATGGAGTTACTTGAAAACAAAGGATACAGTTAAAGAACAAGGGAACAGTTGAAAAAGTCTGGAAAAGTTGTAAGTTGTATGAGTCAGAAAAATAGGAGGTTGGGAGAGAATTCCAAAGGATTGAAGTGCAGGGAAAAAGATGATAACATTAGCAGATGCTAAATTTGCTATTGATTATGAATATGGTTTCCATGAGAGGTTAGTAGAAAATGATAATATAAGAAGATGTAAAGAAGACTAAATGAGAGGGATGCCATTCATTAATATAGGAATGTCAATAGTATTGCAACAGTTGTTTGTAATAGATAAGTTTTGTCTGAGTTAGAATTCATGAGCCGATGCAAATCCCAAGCTGTCACAGAAGTAAGATCAGATTCAAAATTCACTGCCTGTTCTAAGCAATCAAAAAGAGAAGACTTTTTGGTATAACAGGAGTATTAACTTGAGTTGTCAAAAAATAGATAAAAGATTGTCAGGAAGATCATTAGTATAGATAAGAAATAATACAGGACCAAGTATAGAATTATGAGTTAAAGAGTGTTGGCTTTCAAGGATAACTTTAATAAAGAGGTTAGAAACAAATGATTTAATAATCTCAAAAACTTTCCCAGATACACTGTATGAAACAAGCTTATAGAGAAGACCAACATGCCAAACTTTATTAAAAACATTAGATATGTCAATAGCAATAGTTTTAGCCTTGCCACCTTTATCTAATGTGTGATAGAATCTTTCAGTCACAGCAGTTAGCAAGTCAGCCGTAGAATGAGCAAAACAAAAATCTTAATGATTATCAGAATTTACAAATTTGTTGATCAAAGACTCAAAGACCTTGCCAATAATAAGAAGAAGACTAATCAGACGATAGTTAGAAGAGTCAGAAAGTTTTCCAGAGTTTTTAAAAACTGGAACAACAAATGTCATTTTTCAGCAGGCAGGAAAACTTCAGTCAAACAGTTATTAAATAGCTTTTGTATAAATAAGGAACACTTTTGTAAGACAAGGACAAGATATAAGATGCGAGATATAATAAAGCTTAGCATCAGACAGCACCTTTTTAAATTGATTTCTTGCAATAATAGATAGACGTTTGATCTCAAGAGAATTTTTCATTTAAAAATGATGAAAAAAAATGATTACAGTTAGATATAGCAGCTGCACAAGAAGGTAAAAACCATGAAGTAGAATGAGGCTTGACTAAGAACTAACAAGAGGGTATAAAAATTTCCATACCTGTCTGGATCCATGAGGTTATGTAGGAGGATTATTTATCAACGGAGAGAGAAAAGACATTAACTCAAGGACCGCCACATAGAAAATCACAAAAAGAATTCAGGACAGCTTTAAGGTAATAGTAAGTAGTGTGATGATAGTGTGAATTCAAAGAAGAAGTACAATATGAAAAATTTAGAGAGATAATTACATGGTTGGAACCACCTAGAGGAGAACCACCTAAAGAGAAACTGAACACAATCTAGGGTCAGAGACAAGAAACAAGTCAAGAATAAAAGTAAGTGATAAGGGTTTTCTAGAAATCTAGATAGCCTATATACTCAAAGAGCAGACATACGTGTGATCGTTTTTGATTGGATAAAAAATACTAACTGCTAGTGAACTTAGTACTAAATTTTTTTTAAATATTTGTAAAAGTTTTAAAAAACTTAACTGAATGTCATAAAAATTCATGAAAAAGAATGTGCTTTTATTCTTGATAAAATGTTAATAACTGAAAGTATTAACTATGATAATTCTCAAGCTCATACAATAGAATTGTTACATACTATGGATGTTTACCTTAAACTATGACCAAGCTTATTCTAGTTTTTAGGCTTAAATATCTACATATATCTTGAAATCATTGAATATCTACATATGAGGAACATCTACAAGATGAAAATAAACTGCAGCATATTAATATAATGGAAGTTCTGTTTATAAAGGTGTTTTAAAAAACATCATCTTAACTAAAATAGATTACACTGAAGAAATAAGATTAAAAATTAATAGTGTTACTTTTAATATGGGTGCAAATAACCAATCAATCTTTTAATATAAGCTGTGTTCAAAATTATAATATTTCCAGGTTAATTAAAAACCTATGGGACCCAACTGGAACTAATGATTTTTTAGCAAATGCGCCATATTTATTAACAGGGCTTTGGGGCCAAGGTCTAAAAATTGGCTTATAAAAGTTATTTTTTTTTATTCATTCTTAAAATAATTGATTCATCTAATTGATTTCTAAAATATCAAATTTGAGTTAAGAACGCAAATCACTTGATACAAACTTAAGAGCAGAAAATAGCCTCTCTACACTAGCTTGTAAGATAGGTATACAAGTGACAACTCTGCACGCTTCTTATATTCTTTTTGGGTACTCTTCAATTCCTTTAAAAGCTGAATTTACTTTTGAATGTCCCATTTCTTCCATTGTCATACAGTCGTTCAAAAAATTTGTATTAAAAGTATTTTTATCAAAAAAAGTGTGAGCAAAATTAATTTTGGTCATACTTCTCCTTTTTTCTTTTTTATCAAGCTCCTTTTCAAACTCAACCTCTACTCCATTGGAATTAGATTTACTTAAAACTGAAAGAAGTACTGCAGATAACACAGCAGTATTTCTTATTTCTTAACTTTCTTTTATATTCTTGGCATTTCTTTTATAAATTTTTTCTGCTATTGTTTTTAAGTTTTGTTTTGCTCATATTATCTGGTTTTCTTTCAATAGAAATCATCAACATAAACTGCAGCTAGAAAAATACCATTATCAAAAGGTTTTTCTACTTGTTTCTGCATAGATTTTGAAATGTCTTCTGCAAATATTTCTTGATTCTTCTCTAGGTCAGATGTCAATTTCAAGCATTCCTTTAGGAACTCTCCTTGAGTAATGGTTGAACTCTTCTGAAGTCGATTCCTTGAAGTTTAACTGTCACATCATGTGACTTTTTTAAAAGATTGCAAATATTATATGGAAAAGAACTAAATATTGTTACAGAAATTTATTTATGTGAAAATAGATGCCACTCAACACCAAAATAATTATTTGGAAATAAATATTCAATATTATTATGCAAAAAAAAATTTAAAAACTTTGGCACTGATAGATACACAAGGACAACACAGTACCCTGTTGGTATCAAAAAAATGGTGGAAGATACTTTATATAGATTTGGTATCAGCAATGATCAAATAGTATGTGCAAATGTAGACAATGCAACCAATATGATTAGAGCAATCACAATTTAAACAAATATTCAGGTGATGAAAATTTGTGAGATCAAGCTTTGCATGATTAAGAAGTGAAGAAAAAAGTGAAGGAGCTCGGACTAGAATATCTAGCCTTTATCAACCCAGAATCGTGTCAACAATTGTCTACTGACATTAAACTGATGCGCTGTGATTTTTACACTTTACAGCTAGCTATTCGTATGATTTATAAAAAAAATACATTGCTCAACTTTTGGCAAAAGTCTGTTATGTTGCAAAGAAACTAAGAAACTCACATACAATATTTTTAGCTAAGATTCATTTTTAATTTTAGATAATGAGCACGCTGAGGTTTTACATCCCGGATAATTGAAAGATTATTTCTTTTGCGTCCACTGTGTGAGCAACTTGCTGCAGTTGATTAGATATTCTTCCTATGCCCTGAAATACGGGATAAATCTAGTCATCTTTGCAATCTTTTAAAAAAGCCACATAACGTGACAGGTAAACTTCAAGGAATCAACTTCAGGAGAGTTCCTAAAGGAATGGTTGAAATTGACATCTGACTTAGAGAAGAATCAAGAAATACTTGAAGAAGACATTTCAAAATCTATGCAGAAACAAGGAGAAAAACCTTTTGATAATGATATAATTCTAGCTGCAGTTGATGATAGATATAAAATTTTATGTTGATAATAGATATAGAATTCTATTGTTCATTGTTCATTTCTATTGTTCAATTCATTATTTCTTCAAACCTGATCTTTTAGAAAGATGAATCAATTATTTTAAGAATGAATCAAGAAAAATATCAATATTAACAAAATAATAATAGTACTTGAGTTACTGACATAAAACATCAAAAAAAAATTTTGATTTGTTTTTTTTGCTTAGCTGCTTCAGAGCTGCTCCAGAGTTGGAGCAGGAGCTGGAGCCAAAAATTTTGATGGAACCAGAGCCTGGAGCTGGAGCCAATTTTCAGGCCTCGACTCCGAAGCCCTGAATATTTAAAAAACAATAATGTAAAAACAATAGCTCCGGATAGCTCCAGCTCCAGCTCCGAAGCTGCTCCGAAGCCTGCTTATTAAAAATTAAAAAAAACATCTTTCTTATGTAATAAAAAAATAAAAAATAATACTTCTATCACTAGTTATAGATTCAAAATTCCTGCACAAACTTGTAGACATTCTCAGTATGGATTTGGAGTTAGCTTAAACTTAGCATATTGATAAAA